TCCCATTGGGCCTTTTTTTTTTTTTTTTTTTTTTTTTTTTTTTTTTTTTTTTTTTTTTTTTTTTTTTTTTTTTTGTGTGTGTGTGTGTGTTGCTCTTGTGGTTGTCTCAAAAGTGCTAGGTGCGTACTCACACAGCGGTGGGATAGCAGCAAAATCTGCGACTTTTGCTGTCCCATTTTTTGCTGAAATGCCACCCCGTCCGGTCACATTGCAGCAGCAAATCGGAAAAGACACGAGCGGGACTTTCTGGCTATTGCCAAAATGGTGCCTCGTGTGGTCACACAGCGCGAGGCCCAAAAGAATCCTTCAAGTGGGGAATCTACCGTCTTCCCCCGAACATAACACACTAAAAATGAATGTATACAAGCTATATTTCCGGCCAGATACAGCCAAAATAAGGGTGCCTTGTGTTCAGGGAAGATGGTAGGGGGGAGTCGCAAAGAGGAGTTTTTAATTGTAGTATGGGCCAAGATACAGTTTAGAATTGCACTTTACGCAATGTATACAACCCTGCTTTCTGGCCAGGTAGGGTGCCCAGAGTGCAATTGCAAACTGTATCTTGCCCCATAGAGCAATTATAACTCCTTTTTGTGACTCCCGTGTAGTTACCCTTTTGTTTTTGAATGAAGTTCGTTTCAAAGTAACTTTCGCAAACTCTCGAACTGAAAAGAAAAGAAAAAATAAAATGGCCAAAATGCCCTTCCCCGCAGCCCGCCAGGCCACTGACATTTGATACCCCGTTTGCTGCTTTTGGCACTTTTCCCTGCCTCGTGCGACTGGCCAACCATCAAATTTTAGCTATTTTGCAATGAAAAGCCCTACTGTGAGTAGGCCCTAAGATTTGACCCTTTCTTTTTTTTTTTTTTTTTTTTGAAAAGTCCAGGGTGTTGTAAAGGCCAGTTGCTAGGCTCACATGATTGCCGGAAACGGTAAGCTATAGTTGCCCTGAAGAGGCGTTGTTACCACCCATCCCATCCTCGCGTCAATACTCCTAGCGCACCCCCTATTCCTCCTATCCTACCTCAGTGTGACCAGCACTCAGGACCGTTACCCTACCAGTATCGAAGGGAACTTGGACTGAACAGTAGTGACAGGCACTAGGGTTAGTGGCCTAGCCCTGGGGGAAGCCTAGTCGAACGAGCCTCGTCGCACAGGAACTTCGGACGCCAGGCTCAAGCAATCACCTATTAGCCCCTAAGTAGACCAAGTAGTAACTCACGTATCATCAGTTGGTCGTGACCTCCTCCCAGCCCTATGGTGTTATATATGTGTGTGTGTGTGTGTGTGTGTGTGTGTGTGTGTGTGTGTGTGTGTGTGTGTGTGTGTTCTGTATATATGTACCCATAGGCTATGTGTATATTTGTAATGCGTGTGGACCCGTAGCAGACACTGCTCCCCACCATGGAGCATCTGCGAAGTGAGGAGAGCACTACACTAATAATGAATTGACAAGTGGGGTGGCCCCCTCAGGTACCTTGTGATGCATTAGGGTTATAAGAGCAGCAGGTTAATCCTCCCGTGGTATGGGGCAGTAATCAATGCCTCTGCATAAACGATATATGCCTCAGCATAAACGATATACAGAGTCATGATAGGTATAAATTGGGATGGCCACGTTCGGGTAATAAGAGCAGCAGGTTAATCCTCCCCTGGTATGGGGGAGTAATCAATGCCTCTTCTGCGTAAACGATATACACAGTCATGATCCGTTTATATCGGGATGGCCACGTGGCCTATCTACATGATTTCCATTTCATCATATCATTGTACAGGGACGCTGGACCCGATTTCCAGCAGTGCTGCTCCCCATCAATAGATGGAGCCTTCGCTGCAGGGGTCACTTGATGAGGATGCTCTTATCACCTCGTCAAGTGGACTTCCTGCCCTTGAAGTTTGCAAAAAAAAAGAAAAAGAAAAAAAAAAGAAAGTACCAGTGAGAGGTGCTCCTCTCACCTCCTCCAGTACCTGTGTGAGCTATATATGTGTAGGTATTTTGTATCCCCCTAAAAGCACCTTGCCTCGATGCTGCGGAGGGGCGACCCTATGCGCCCTTAATCTGTTGCCAACAAATAGACATCCCTCGTCTAGAACCCGGTAATCAGCTAGGGCTCCTCCCCGCCCAAAGGACCCATGCCTCACTTTGTCTATCCTCGGTAGTCTACTGTCTCCCACCTAGTAGCAGATTCCGGTCATCGGCTAGGGTCTTCCTATAGGGATCAGAAGAGACAGACTACAGACTCAGTAGGTGGTGGGCCATTATCCATCCTTCCACTTAGCCCCCAGCCTTGTCCCTCCGATGTTGTGTGTGTGTATTGTGTGTGTGTCTGTCTACGACTCTACGTGTATCTGGGGTAGTGTCTGGTGTGTGTGTGTGTGTGTATCATGTGGTAGAGACAGGTCTCTCTGGACAGGAACCCCCCAAGTCCGGAGTCGGACTCGAAACTGTAACCTACAGCATGAGATTGGAGGGTTCTACCACATGCACAACTGTATGAAGCGGATATACTGTGTGAAATGTCTAGGCTGGGGGAGATGATCAGAGCGACCAATCGGTTCACAACGTACGCAAGGACTGGCTTCATCTCTGGAAAGTGTTGTGGTTTGGGAGGTGCGGCATGGAATTACTCTTGCCCTCTTTTGCTAAAAGGGAATTTCTGTCATAGCGAAGGAGAAGAGTGCACTGCGGCCCATTTTGAGGAAGCGTCACACTATTTTTGTCAATGAATATGGGGCTCGTTCGACACTCCTCGGGGCTTCCTCGGGCCCCGAGGACGATTCCTCGAAGTCGTTGGGGGACTTCGACGCCTTCGTTCCACTCATCCTCGGAGTCGGCCCCCGAGGACGATTCCTCGGGGCTCCCGCGGCCAGATTTATATACGTATCAGCAGCCGCGGGATGTGTGTACCACGGCCTGTCTTCAAT